GTAGATAGAGAGGGCCGCCGCCGCACTCAGCTCGCCCTTCACCTCCTTGGGCAGCCGCTGGCGGACACCGCCGCCCTGCTCGTCGCACTCTCTCGGCCGATTGTAGGTCGCGCCCAGGATCGCAAGCAACGGTCGGGACACCATCGTAGTCCACGTCCGGTGCGCCGCCAGCGATGCCACCGCTGAGGGTGGAAGATGCGCCTCCAGGAAGACCGCCTCCGTCGCCGGGGCCGCCCGCCGCTTCAGCTTCGAGGGCCGCGCACTCAGAGTGCAGGGGCGACCGGCTCCGGCGCGCGAGCCCAGACCCAGACCCCCTCGTGGACTGCAAGGCCCCTGTCGTTCAGGAGGTCATTGACCATTTCTCTGTCGCCTAGGGCCCTCGTCTCTCAGCCCCCCCCCCCCCTGCCAGCGTGAAACCGATGAAGTCGTCGATGTGCAGCGTCGGCAGGAAGCGGGTCGCCTCCTGGCCGGCGAGGCCGGAGGACGGCGCAGGCTTGCCATCGGTCAAGCTCGGGGCCCTCAGGGACTCGAAGTTCGCCTCCAGGCGGCCGCGGGCCAGGAAGACTGCCCAAGCGGAACCCATCGCCAAGCTCTTGGCCCCAATCCCGACAACCCCCTCCCGCGGCGCCTCCAGCCCCGCCCCCTGTCCCAGGCCGAAGCGGCGCAGCTCCTACGGGGAAACGCCTTCCACCTCGAAGCGCTCCGCCAGCTCCGGGCCCCAGCGCAGCTGATGGAAGCAATCTGGCGCGTCGCCTTCGAAGGAGAAGAGCCGTCGCCCACGCGAGGCCGCCCCGCCCATTCCAGGAGAAACAAGCCCGCGGGGCCCCCCGAGGCGGATGCGCGAAGAGGAGATTGACCTTCCGACAATCCCAGATCAGGCGAGGCTTCGCGACGCAGCCAGTCTTCTAGTCAAAGCCCCTGGCCACCGTAAACAGCAAGCCCTATGCGTCCTCCCGCGTTCTTCACGCGAGCGATCACACCTGCCTGGGCCACGCGCAGGGCAAGTCCCAGACGCCCTTTCTTGCCCTTCAGCGCGGGGCCCGAGTGGCTCGTCGCATTCTCGCGCTGGCGCCAGTCAACCTCCCCCAGGGCCTTAATTATCAGCTCGATGGCCCCGTCAAACACCTGCCCGCCAGGCTCGAGATCTCGCGAGCCCTCAGGGCCCTCTCGCCCGGCGCTGGCAGCGACGCCTGCTCTGCCGTCAGGGGGCGCGGGCCCCCCCTCCTGCGCGCCGACGGCGCGCTCGGCGCAGCGGTTTCGCCATCGTAGATCTCCCGGCATAATGCACCGCGCCCCCCCCCACCCCCCGCCAGGCGACGCATGGCCGCCCCGCCGTCGTCGATGGCCCCCCGCCCTTCCCCCGCCGCCCTGAGGTCCCAACGGTCGTCGCCAATCGCTCCTGCAGCGGCGCGCCCCCCGCCCGATCGCCCTGGCCCTCGCCCGTCTGCCCGAGGCCCGACGGGTGGGTTCAGCCGCTCGAACAGCCGGTCGCTGCGCTCCGAATCGCCGCCGTCGTTCTCGAAGTCCGCCCCCGCGTCGGCCGCGGCCTGCAGTTCCGTCGACGGACCCGAGCTCGATCGCCTCGACTTCCGCGGGAAACGTAGGCGAGGCAGACCCTGTCGATCAGGGGATCTCGCCCCCCTCGGCCCCTTTCCCCCAGTAATCATCGGGAGCAGCCAGGAGACCTGCGCCGCGACGCACGGGGAAGCCCGCTCGCTAGAGAGGAACGAAAGCCCTCGGGCACACCAGAGGCACCCACTCGACGACGACCCCGCGGAGAACCTCATGGGCGATCGCCAGGGCACTCACCGACCCAACGCAGCCCCAGCAGGAAGCTCGGCACGAACGCAGCTCGCAGCCGCGGTAGAGAAGAATAATATCCCAGGCCTTGGCTGGAGCGCGCCGCGATAGCTCCAGCCGCGACCTATTCGTCACCCCCAGCAGCCCCCCCGAACGCACCTCGCCCAAGGCTTGTTCAGGATCGTCCGCCTCTTCTCCGTTGCCTCGTCATCGGCCTCGCGGCTCTCGCCGTTCGGGTCGCCGCCCGGGCGCGGGCGCCCCTCCGCCGGCGCCCAATCGACCTTCGACCTCTTCCCGCCTCGCTGACTCTTCGGCCGCTGCCTGTCAGCCTTGCACTGCGCCCTCTCGTGGGACTTCCAGATCACGTACGTCAGCTCGGCGGCCCGCGCGTCGATCAGCTCGCAGCGCTGCCCTTGGCTCATCGGGCGGCCCAACACCATGGCCAACGCGATGACACCCTGCGCCGCCCCCGCGCCCTGCAGCCCCCCCATGCTCCGCAGCCGCTCCTGCGTCTCCACGAGGGCGCTGCGGCCGCCCTCGTAGAGCTTCGCCAGCGCCGTCGGGGCCACGCGCGCCCTGGCCCCTCCCGCTGGAGCGCCCGCAGTAGTACGGCATCGCCGCAGGGTCGTATGCAAGCTGCCTTTGGGGTTCGCCGCCTTCTCCTTCAGCTGCGCGATCTGGTCCTGCAGCGGGTCCTCGAACTCCCCGAGGTTGCCGACCTCCTCCCGCGACGCCGCGCTCGAGCTCGGCGTGGGCGACCAAGACTGAGCCTCGGTGGACAGGCCCGCGTCTTCCTGAGCACATCCTCGTGATCGGTCAGCTTCTAAATGAAGGTGTCCACGTCGGCCATCGTCAGTTCACCTGGTCGAGGCCCAGGCGGCTCCGCCGGCGGCAGCAGAGGGGGCCCAGCACTCGCAGCACCCGAAGCCCCGTCGCCGCCCTCAACCCTCGACTTCAGCTCGCAGACCACACTGGCAAGGTCCGATTGCCCGCGCGCGAGCTCGGCGAACGGCGCCTTGGTGCCCGTCTCCACGTCACTGTCGCTGCCGTCGACACCTCCGTAGACGCTGCCCACCTCCGAATCGTTGCGACTCTCACTCTCGGAGTCGACAGCCATCCCTCTCCCCAGGAACAACCGCGCCTCGTAGAGCACGACCACCGCCACTCTCACGTACCCGATGAGAACCTCGAGGGTCCCGCTGCTTTAGAGCTCGTAGGCGAAATCGCGGAAGTTTTCGAAGTCCTTCACCGCCTGGAGCGCCGCCAGGGAGGCGTGGTATGTGGCCGAGATAAGGGGTCCCAGCTGCAAGAAGCGCCAGATCCGCCATGTGACGAAACCTCCATCGGCAAAGCTCCCCCACGCCCGATGGCTCCAGGTCGTGACGATCGCGGATATCACGCCCTTGCCCATCCACGTTGCGACCTTTGTGGGGTTGCTGTTTTTTTGGGCAACCTTGAGGTCCATCTTGACCGAAGCGGCGCCCGCCTGCCCCAGCTCATGTCGCACGATCAGCCGCTCCGCGGCGATCACCGCCTGCTCCCGCCGCTTCTCCAAAAGACCAGGGTGCTCTGGCCAAGCCACCCCACGTTTGGGACGAGCATGCATGTGGGTCTTGTCCCGTGGGTTGATGATCACAACACGCTGCGCAAGGTCCACCGCCGCCCACCCTGGGCTGTTGGCGGCCCCCGCTCGAGACATCAAGAGCATCACCACCCCAGTGCTGCGCCCTCGCGCCTGCACCTACACTCTGCTCCAGCCTTGTCCGCTTGAAGTGTCCAATCCAATCCAATCCAATCCAATCCAATCCTCCTCCTCCTCATCTTCCTCCTCTTCCTCCTCTTCCTCCTCTTCCTCCTCCTCCTCCTCCCCCTCCTCCTCCTCCCCCTCCCCCTCCTCCTCCTCCTCCTCCTCCTCCTCCTCCTCCTCCTCCTCCTCCTCCTCCACCATGAAGCCCGCGGGCGCTTCCCGCCAAGGCTCCCCGTCGACCTCCGACGGGCGCTCGATCGGCTCCTCGGCCACCGTCGGCCCGCGGCCCTCGAGTAGCTCAGGGGGGCCGTCCGGCTCGGAGGGCATGAGAGCGCCTATCGGGGCCAACCCGAAGCGCTCGATCGCCGGCGCCGTGGTGGTGAGTCCCGAGCCCCATGGGCCCTCGAGTAGCTCAGGGGGGCCGTCCAGCTCGGAGAGCGCGAGAGCGCCTATCGGGGCCAACCCGAAGCGCTCGATCGCCGGCGCCGTGGTGGTGAGTCCCGAGCCCCTGGGCTCGAATCAGGGCTGGAAGGGTCCCAAGGCTCAAGGTGTTGGCATTCCCCTGCTCCTCTTCGAGCCGAGACGATGAGGATGGAGGCGGCTCCTTTGGGTTAGCACGGGGTTCGCGCATGTGTCAAAATAACGCGTATTGTGTTGTGTGTGTGCGTGTGTTTGTGCGTGTGCTTGTGCGTGTGCGCGTGCGCGTGCGCGTGCGCGTGCGCGTGCGTCTACGTGTGCGCGTGCGCATGCGCGTGCGCGTGCGCGCGCGTTGTGTCGTGTGGTGTCGTGTCGTGTCGTGTCGTGTTGTGTTGTGTCGTGTTGTGTGATGTGTTGTGTGTTGTGTGTTGTGTGTTGTGTGTTGTGTGTTGTGTTGTGTGTTATGTGTGTGTGTGTGTGCGCGTGTGGGTATTTTGCTTGTGTATATGTGTGTGCGTGTGTGCGTGTGTGTGTGTGTGTGCGTGTGTGCGTGTGTGTGCGTGTCTGTGTGTGTGTGTGTGTGTGTGTGTCCAGGGGGGCTCGTGGAGAGGACGGGGAGGACGGGGACAGGGGGAAAAACGCGGGGGGATGAGGAAGCGGAATGGGGAGCAGAGGTGAAGGGACTTGTTCGACCACTAGGGGGAGGAGGAACCGAACCAACGGAGAAACGCCAGCTTGAGTGCCACTGGTGCCCCGAGTAAGTCACCCGAGACGCTCGGCGATGACCCACCATGGCTCGGAAGTCCCAAACAGGCAGTGAATCAAGGAGACAGACCGCGCAGTGACCTCGAACTCCCTAGAAAGACTTCACCGCGCGGTCCGTCGCCGCACGGCTTTGGGGGGCCCCGACATTTCCCCAGCCCGATCGACCTGGGCCTGGCGCGAGGGAGCCGCCACGCGAACGAGCCGACTGCGGAGCCCGGTCCCCCTCGGGGCCGTGGGCGCCCACGCGCGCGGCGGCGGCAGAGACGCGCGCCTTCTTCTGCTCCTTCACCATGACTTCCTTCTGGTCCTGGCGTGCCGCCGGGGCGAGCGCGGGCAATCGGGGGGGGGGGCTCTCCAGGCACAGTTCCTCGTCCTCGTCCCGGTCATCGCCCTCCCCTTCTTCCTGCATCCCTCCTCCCCCAATCGAGCGGGTTCGATTTGCTTCTGCTAGCCTTGCGGGACTTGCGCCGCCCAGCACGCCAGAGGCCTTTCGGAACAGGGCCTGCTGGCCAACCGACGGGTCGGAGGCATGCTCAATTGTTCGCAATATTAGCGCCTCCAGAATTTTTTGCGAGGCTGCCACCCCGAGTCGGGTGCATTCCTTGGCCCACCAGCGCTTCTGCGCGCAAGGGTGTGGTGTCGGCTCAGTTGCCGCCGCTTCCTTTCTTTACCTCTGAGGGTGGAGGTGGACAGGTGGGCGCGGGGGGGGTCGGGGCAAGAGAACACGCAACTTCTGGGGACCCAGGCCGATCGGCCTTCTGGGATGAGCTCGCTGGCCTTCCGGAAGCCGGTGGTCCCGTTGTTGGCAACGATTTTTTCGAGCTTGCCATCACGCTTGCCTTTGGTCTCTGTCAAATCGAAAACATCCCTCCTCACCGTTCCGTCCTACTCCCTCCGCGGCCCTCCTGCGACCCCCTACCTCCGCACTCTCATTTCCCCCCCGCCACTTTTTCCCACCCCCTCCGCCCCGCTCTCCACCACGTTCCCGTCCTCCTCCAATTCCTTCTCCTCATCCTCCTCCTCACTTCGTCTTCCTCTTCTCGCGCAGCGAGGCTCCTCCCTCCATTGCCAAAGGTCTCCTCTTGCAGCCGTGCGTGGCTCCACGTCCCCACGACCAGGGCCGCGGTCCACACGGAGCGTTGTGCCTTCAAGTTGGCTCTTATCATGGACGATGCCCTTCTTAGTTCCCTCCTAGTCCACCCTCTTTTCTCTTCCTCCTACCTCCATTCCCCCGTCCCGCTCGCCCCATCATCCTCCAACCTCCTCCCCGTTCCGTTCCCTTTACCAATCCTTCATCACTCATCAGCCATCCGTTTCCTCCTCCCCCTTCTCCTGCTCCTGTTCCTAGATTCCCACCTCCGCATCATGATTCTTCGACTACCCCAACCTCCTCCCTGAGTCCCCATATTGTGCATCATCCTCTCCCCTGCCTCATGGGTTCTCATCCTCCGCCACCTAGCCCTCTTTTTTCCTTCACATCCTCCTCTTCCTCCAGTTCTCTCTCGTTCTCCTTACGATCAACAAAAGCTGTTAAACACGAGCGACCGAACATAATGAGGCACTGAAGATGCACTCGCGCCTCCACCGACGCCTTTCCCCTCCAAATGGATAGGGACCATGCGAGCCCCCGCTGCCGACGCGCGCATGCTGATTGACTGCTCGCGGCTGACGCATCGCCAGCGACGAAGGAGACGAGGCGCGCCAACGAAGGAGACGAGGCGGATTGCCTTCTCCAGGTCCGCGAGGCGACGGCAGGCGCTCAAAATACGAGCGGCGCAGAACGGAGGGCCGACGAAAACCATGAGCTTCGAAACGACAGCCACACACAAGGCCATCTGGCGTTGCAGACAATACGTCGGCAGCAGCAAGCAGAAGTCTGGCAGGATGAGGTTGACGCGTTTGCAAACCTGAGCGTTCGCAGACACGGAGTCGATCGAAGGACTCAGGCAGGCCAACAAACCGGCGGACATCAACTGCAACATGTCCACGCGAATGGCACGAAGTAGAGCTGCAAACGTGCAGTCGGCGCTGGCGCGTTCGAGCACGGCGGGCGGGAACGCGAGCTCCTCTGAAGAAACCTCGGCGCCCCCCGTTTCGTAATGGATCATTCCGCGCGAACTGATGACCTCGAAAGACGCTGGCGCGGAACTTCCCAACTTCGCATTCACGAGCGTCTCGCCCCGCTGGATGTGCATCGCAAGCCAACTCAACGTCGCGGAGTCGCCTCCCAAACAAAGCTTCTTCCGCAGAGACTCCGCCTGACGCTTGCAGAACACGCCGGCAATGCAATGGCCCGCACCCCTGGCGAAAGCGCGGCTGCCGCTGCGCCGCCGAAGCCCCCGCGCAAAACTTTGCGCCCGAATCCGAGAAGAAAACCCGCAGCATGCGCAGAGGCGCCCGCGGGTCCCACATCGAATGCTGAGGGTCGTCGTTGAGGCCCCGCCCAAACATCGGGTCGCCCTGCGGAGGAAGGGGCCGCGCGCGGCCGCGGCGAAACAAACGCGTTGTCTCGAGGGGAAGGAGGATCATTCTTCTTCGCGCACTTGACATTGAATGCATCCATCTGGATCTCCAGCCGCGCGGCGATGTCCGCCTTGGCCTTCGCCTCGGCGTGTCTAGCAGCCACTCCGCGCGCGCGGCGGAACCGCGGCTGGTTGGCCTTCGGGCCCTCTGCCGCCGCGGCCCGGCCGCCGCCCCGCCCCCGCCTCGGACCCGGGGCCCTCTGCCGCAACGGCGGCGAGCGCGAGCGCATCCATCGCCTGCCAGGGCAGGCTCGAGAACGGCAGCTGGCCCGATCCAAGAAGTCCGACTACGGAGAGGATGAACGAGCGGAAGGGGAAGGGAAAACGCAAGCATCACGCACAAGAAGAAGACAGATGTCGCATCGGAAGCGCGTGGATCGAACTCGAGTCGAAACGAGGTCGACCCCCTATCGAATCTGACTCGCGGCGATCGGGGCTCGCTCGGTCGGAATCGAATCGACTGGACTCGCGTCGGTCGGTCGCGCTCGCGTCGGTTGGACTCGCGCCGATCGAACTCGCGCTGCCCGGACTCGCGCCGAACTCGCATCGATTGGTCTCGCATCGACCGGGATCGAGCCGATCTGGGTCGAATCGATGGCCTCGGCCGCGCGCTGCGACGACGTGACAGACGCTGGGGCCAGCGCCGTCGCCGCGCCGTCGCCGCGACGTTGCCGGCGCCGCCGTCGCAGCGGTGGAAGCGGGGGGTAACGGGCGGAAAAACTGTCTCGCGCGCACGGCGGCGAGGCGAGGAAAGTCAGCGAACCCCGCGCCGCGCGCGATTCAACGCGCGCAGCACGCGCGGCGACGCGCGCAGGCGCTTGCGGCGGCGCAGAACAAATAACGGAACAGGAGGGGCAAGGGGAGAGAGGAGAAGGGAAAAGAGTCGCGCGCTGCATCGACGAAAGAGGGGCGCATGAGTCGCGCGCTGCAGCGACGAAGACAAAGGGGCACCGACAATGAGCTTGCGCACTTCCCAATGCGCGGGTCGCAGGCCAGCTCCTCCCCAGCGGAGGCTGCGCTGGCGCCGAAGGCGGGCGCTGCCCGCTTACCCCGGCCGAGCGCCCGCGGGCGGCCGAGGCGGCCCAGCGACGGGTCGATGCGGTCCAAGCGCGGGGCAACTTCCTCGACGCAGCGCCCCGCCCCGCGGCCGCCCCGCTCGACGCCCGCGACAAATTCCCTCGCGGAGCGGGTCTTGCCTGAGCAGCCTGCGCCACGCACCTTCGCGATGGGCTCGAACGTCTTGTCGTCGAGCGGAAGGCCCGCGCGCGAGAGCGCCTCCAGGGCGGCCCCCGGCTGTTTCGCGAGATCCTCGTGGCGCACGATGAACGCGCGGCTGCGCGTGGACTCCGCCATCACCTTGCCCTTGAGGGGCAGCCCGTAGGCGTGCTCCGCCCTCACCTCGTCGACGTTTTTGCGCGTCTGCACCTGGTTGCTGATCGGGTGCTTCAATGTCAGCGGGCCCTCCACGAGCCACCTGCGGCCGCGCCGCTGATGGCCGCTCTCTCAAGCGCGTAAGCCACCGCACGGCAGCGCGGCGAAAGCGCCGACTTATGCAAAAATCTGGCAGAGGGTCATGCCGTTGGGCATGGAAAGGCGCGATGTACGCCCTGCCCGCTTTATCAGCGGCAACGCGGCGCGTGAAACTCAGCCGGCCAGCCATCTTGCAGCCCCCAGCCGGCGCGCAACGACTGCTTGCAAGGATCTCTTCAATAACCAGAGACCGCTTGCGTGCTTTAGCCTCGTCGATTTGCACGCGCACTCTCCCCGCCATCACCCGGGTGACTCCAACCTAAGACCCATGGAGGCCCAACCGGAAAGAAACAAAAAATGGGGCGCGCCGAAGAACCCAGGGGGTCCGGTTTCCGCGGAGGAAAGAAAAAAACCCTGGCGATGGGGTTCGAGCACGGGGGTTACCCCCCCCTCAAATTCCGGAAGAGGAATGAACTCCCAGCCGCGGGGGTGCCCGCGCGAGGGGCCCCACCCCCCCAAGCGCAACCAGAGGAAGAAAAGCGTGAGAGCCGAGACTGTAAGTGCAATGCAACAACACCTTAACCGCGGTTGCACTAGGGATTTGCATTAGTACGGGAACAACTGAATTACAGCCGGTGAGGTTTGGGTTCGGGTTCGGGCTTATATATTGGGAACCCAGTATATTGGAAACGCAATATATTGGAAACTCAATATATTGGAAACCCACTATATTGGAAACCCAATATATTCGAAACCCAATATATTAGAAACCCGATATATTGGAAACCCAAAAATATTGGGAACCCAATATATTAGGAACCCAATACATTGGAAACCCAATATATTGGAAACCTAATACATTGGAAACCCAATATATTTGAAACCCAATATATTGGAGAGTTGTTATGGTACCACTTAAACCGGGGAATTGTACGGGGGAGTTGTGCTCGGGAGTTGTACCATGGAGTTGTGCTAGTACTGGGGATTGGCGATAGGGCGTTGTTCTAGGGGGCGCAATTTTACCAGCTGTAATATGATACCAGCTGCACTCGAATATTTGCACGGCAGGACAACGTGCTCTCTAGGAACACCTGCGCGATAGGACATGATAGTACCAGTTGTACTCAAGTTCGAGTTGCACGGTAGTCGGAGGGGTTCAGGGGTTCCAACGGCAACGCGCGCGGGGAAGAAGGAAAGAAATCCATGCGCCGCCAGGGGTCCCGGGTTTAACGGGTCGCCGCGAAGGTTGAATAAGGTTGACCCCCCGCAGAAAGAAGAAAAGAAATCCGGCCGGGGGGTTGGGGGGTTGAGGGATGAGTCACGGGGGCGATTCCCCGCCAAAGGATCGGGGGTGGACTCCGCGAATTGGAAGCTCTTGGCTGGGCCCAGAGGCAACCCGAATATTAGCATCACAGCATCGCAACAACTGCGCCCGTCAAGCGGGCAGTCCACCGCGTCAGCTCCGAAGAAGCCATCGACGTGGCGGCCCGCGGTGGCGCGCAGCAGTGTCCTCATGACAGCCATGGCGATACTGGAGTCGCGGTGCCAGCTCGCCCCGGCGCTCGTCGCGCCGAACGGCATGCCCACGTGGCGAGAGAACCGCGACTGGCCACTGCGCGCCCACGCTGCGCCCGCGAGGTCACCGTGGGAGGCTCGGATCGTAAAGCGTTTGAGAACTCGCTTCAATCTCGCTCCCAGCTCTCGAGAGGAACCTGTCGGCGGACTAACGAAAGCATGATCTCAACCATGAGGTCGACGGCGTCATGGCGAATTGCACCGCTCATCCCCGTGGCCAGATTGACCGCGAATTCCGCGCCAGTGCCATGGTCGGCAACCCTTGTCTTCCACTCTCCATTCCGCTCTTCCCGCGCGGGAATTCTCCCGGTGAGCCAGATATTCCCGGGCGTGAGACGGCAAAGGTGGATCTGGTTCTGTCGTTGCTCCAATATGAACGTCTTTCTGCAACTCTGCCATGCTATCTTCTGCGCGCGGCAAGACCTTCCTTGGGCGCAGCCAGAGTATGCTGGTTTACCTCGTGCCTGTGCGAACGCAGAATATCAATCGACGCGCGGCGCTGCGGCCAGGAAAGTGGCCGGGAGCTGCAATATGCTTTTGGCAACGAGCCCGCGTGCGCAAAACCATGGCCAATGTCGCGCGCCAAAGCCTCATCGGGCCACTTCAGATACGATGTGAAATGCTTGGGAAGCGGACCGTGCAACGGCTGCGCCAATTTCTGCACGTCGCCAGGTTGCGACGACGCCCGCTGCACTCGATCCGGCCGCAGACCCGCCGCGAGCTTCAATAGCCATCGCAGAGTGCCCCAGCGGCGCACCCCCAAAGACTCCGGCGAGAGCGTCGCGACGTTGCGGATTGCAGCCTGGAGGTCATCACCCATAATCGACTATGCCGCGGCAAATGGATGCGTGACGGTTGCGGCAAATTGGATATGCTCCTTCGGAAACAACCCTTTTGGCGCGCCTAAGCCGTCTGTCACAAACGCTTGCCTGACGTCCGAGTCCGTCGCGCACGGCGTCGCCATCGTCGTCGAGTTGGCACTGCAGCTTGCGAAGCATGGCGACTTGGACGCCGACAGCCTCGCCATCCAGCTCGCCAGGGTCTGCTCGAAAATCTGGCTGTGCCCGCAAGTCCCGCGCCCGCAATTTGAATGTGCTCAAATCGCAATATGGCAATTGTACATGTGGTACCAATATCGCCCCTGGGACATTGGTGTGAGCGATCGGCAGCCCCATCGGCGCCGTGCGCTCCGCGCGGAAACGGCAGCGCAGTCAGCTGCCCGACGCCCTCGCGCCAGGAGCGCGCCATCCCAAGAAAGTGCCGCAACCGTGAATCTTGCGACGCGGTCGCCATGAACGGCGCCGCGCCTCCCTGGCATGCACCCGGGAGCTGCGCCAGGGCCAATTCAAATAAGTTCTACAGCAGCACCTGCTCCGCGTGCACAGCGCCCAGACCAGGCAGCCCGCGCATGTGCGACCACGAGCGCTGCGCTGGCAGTGCCCGCTGCGAATGCCAATGGACAGGGAGGATAGCCATGAGCGCCTTGACCCTTCCGCCCATAATTTGCTGCTTGAACCGCTGAATATCCCTCGCTCAAGCGACGCGCCCCCCCCTTGCATAAGCGAATTCTTGAATAAGCGCCGAAAGCCCTCACTCTGAAAACCGCCGACGCCCCTGGAGAGCCATCGTCTAGAATCAAAACACGTTGGCCGCCTGGGTTCTGAGACTGCTCAACAACCAGGCGCTCCGACACGCGGGATGTAGGCCCACTCGCAGCTGCTCCTCGGGGGTCCCGCAGAACCACGAATGTCTCTGGCCTCTCCTCCCCAGGGCTTGCCGGCGCCCTTTCCTGCGCCCCGATGGGCCTCCTTCTTGGCGCAGACGCCCTGCCGAGACTTCTGCTTCTTGGCCTGTCGGTCGGATATGTTCCCATCCCCTCCTGGCGCCCGCTTGCCCTGCTTGCCGCCGCATTTGCCGTCGGCGCGAAACGAACGGCCTTTGCCACGCCGGACAAGTAATTGGCCCGATTCTCCATCAAGACCTGCTGCTTGGCCAACTCCCTGGCGGTCTGGGCAGAACGGCGTGCTAGGGTGTCCGCCGCGGCCTGCTGCTTCGCCAGGGCGGACTCCTCGGCCGCCTGCAAGCCTGCACCCGCGGACGCCGAAGCTGACCCACTCGAGGTGCCCGTCCCGATTGCTCTCAGAAGCGGCTGCAACCTGGTCATGACTGTGCTCCAAATATGATCGTCCTTCTGTCCGGCCAACTGCAAGAGCTTCACTGCCGGGTCACGTCGCTCAGCTCGCTGCGCCTAGCTCCTCCGCAACAGGTCGTCGTGCACGAAGGCGCACACCGGAGAGCCGCGTTGCATGGCCTCCTCCTGCGCCAACGTGAGGATGTGATCGACGTAAACCATCCCCGTCGCCCAGTCGATTTGCTGCGTGCCGACTGCCAGGATGACGTACCGCATGAAGGCGCCAGCCCACTGCGCTGTAGTGCGGAACGCTCGCGGCGTGGCAGATGCAGCTTTGAATGCCGCCGCAAGATTGGACACTGTCGCCTCCGAGGAACCATCCGCAAACGGCGCCTGCTCAACGCTCGGGGCCGCCCCTTCGATGGACTCGGCAGAGATCCACATGGGCAGAATGTCAGCGGACGTGATGTCTACGTACATGAAAGGCTGCCGCGGCGCTGCGTCTGCTTTCGCCAAAGTCGTGAACGCATTCATGAGTTGCCACTGCTTCTGCAGCACCTGCATGTGGTAAGGCAGCTCCTCCATGCCCGCGTCTTTGAGTAGCCACTTGACGTCCACCGCGGGCGAAGTCGCCGCCGACAGTGCGCAAGCTACCGCCAGCGCGCTCGTTGTATCTCCCACATGCGCCAAATCAGCCAGATTCACCTGCGGAGCTGCTGGCTTCGGCTGCTGCGGATTCTGCGGCGCTGTCGCCGTGTTCACGGGCATCGCGGCCGCAATCCTTGCGGTCTGCTCTGCCCAGCGCACCGCTCTGCGAACCAGCGCATTCTGTCCAATCGCATCCGCGGCAGGGGCCCCGGGCACAGCCAATAGCTCCCCAGGGTTGACACCATCGAGCTGTGCCGACGTCTGCAGAAACGCGAGACTGTGAAAGAAAACTGCAACGGCATCCACGTCCTCTTGGTGTGGAGCCGTAGAATAAACGCTCGCAACCCACTGGGCCCACTGTCACTGTGCCTGGTCCCACTGAGCCATGCCGCTCCCGTTGAATCAAAGTTGGGGAGAAAGCGAAAGTGCTTGAGCCAAAACCGGCGGCCCTTCGGAGCGATCTGGGCGCCTCCGGAACGCTCCCTGTGAGGCGCGACTGCTGGAGAGCATCCCGAGACTGGAAAACCGTCGAGCACCGACCAAAACCGTCGAGCGCCGACCAAAACCGTCGAGCGACGACAAAAAATCCACCGATTGCCGACACAAACCCCTCCCGACACCGGCAAAGCGTCGAGCACCGGCCACAGCCCTGGCAGCCCTGGCAAGCCTCGCACTCGACCCCCGGAGCCCGTCCTCCCCGGAGCCCGCCCGTCCCTCGCGCTGCCCGGCACCTCCGCTCCCATGGCGGAGTGCGGAGGGCGGAGGAGGAGGAGGAGAAGGAGAAGGAGAAAGAGGAGGAGGAGGAGGAGGAGGAGGAGGAGGAGGAGAAAGAGGAGGAGGGGGATAAAGAGGAGAAAGAGGAGGAGAAAGAGGAGGGGGAGGAGAAGGAGAAAGAGGAGGAGGAGGAGGAGGAGGAGGAGGAGGAGGAGGAGGAGGAGGAGGAGCCCCACCCCGGCACCCGCCGCGGCCCGGCCCTCCGCTCCCGTCTCCGCGACCGCTGGGCGCGCCCAGCTCGGGACACCGCCCGCCTGCCCCACCGACGGTGCCCCCGCTCCTCCCCTGCCCCCCTCGCGTCCGTGGGGAGCCCACACAGGACGTTCAGTCGGGGGCTTGACCTCAGGAACCCTAAATGAGGAACGAGGCCCCTTTCTTCCATAAGCTAATCTTCGATTTCCTGTCGGAGACCTAAGGAAAGCCTGAGGCAAGCTGTGAAACACTCAGGGAACGCAGAGCCCCTCCCCAACGAGAAGGGTTCCTTCTTCAGCGCCCCGACTGTACGCACCCAGCTGTGTACATGAACCCGGCCCCTCGATCCGCGAGACTGGCCGCGTGACACGAGCATTCGGGCCATTGCGTGCTCTCGAAACCGGCGTGGACTCATGTGCGTGTACGGCCTGCCTTCGCTCCTGAGTCCAGCGCAAGCTCGGAGACGCGCCGGCCTGGGCCAGCGCGAAGTGGTCGGCGGAGGGCGGGGGCGCGGGGTCGGCCCCGGGGTGGCTCCCAAGCCCGGGCCAGCCGGAAGACCTCGGAGGGGACCGGCGGACCCCTCTGAGCGCCGAGCCCCGCTGCGCGAGCCCGCCACGTGCTGAGCACTTCCTCGGGGTGGAGGGCTCGGGGTGAAGTCCTCATGGGCTTTTTGCACCTCGGGAGTCAATCCGCCTCGTGATTCACCTTTTGCAGATTCGAGCCTCGAACACCAATCGAAACGGCATTTCAGATGTCACCCTTCGCCCTCCACTCAAAGAAAATGCTCAGACGCGGGCCCCGACAGGTCTGGCCTCCGGACCGACCAGCCGAGCGAGGCCGCGAGCGGGGCCTCGCGCGGGGCGCGCGGCTCGCGGGCCGCCAGGGAAAGGGCCCCGCTCCTCCTGGGCGATCTTCATCACCAGCTCCTGCAAGGGGGGGAAAGGGGGGCTCAAGAGGGCGAAGAGAAGAAGGGGCAGAGGAGAGAGGAGAGAAGAGAGATTTCCCTCCACCGCGCAGGGGTCTAGCCACTGGGGCCCACGTGAAATGGACCCAAATCTACCGGGGAGAAACTGGAGCCTTGCCAGCTCCGTAAAGCTGTCTCACGAAGGGCCAATGGACAAGAACCCGATCCTCATTCCCATGATTGGGGTGTTTGCTTTGCTAAAGTCGACGCAGCTTGTGCTGTGTTGCCTCATTACACCCTGCGAAATGCTTAAGAAATCATGGGTTAAGAAATTCACAGTCTCAGAACTTGAATAAAGACCCAACATTTCTAATAAAACCTTAGGATTTACATTGAAACGTTAAGAATAATCGAGACTCTGGCCGAAAACTTAAGTTTTCTTAAGCATCGCCTAAGGTGTAGGACCCCAAAACTGGGGCAGACCTTGCGCAAGCCCAATGCTTCCGTGGAGGCGCACTGGCCAACGCCTCCTGCAAAACAGCCGCGCGTCATCCACCTCGGCCTCGAGCCGCAGGGCGAGCCCACACCAATCAATGTCATGGGCGTGGGCGAATTCAGTCACGCACTGAAAACTAGGTGGCACATCGCTCTGCCTACACTCCAGCTGGTCCAAGGAACTGTGGGGGGTCACCGAAGACCTCAAACATTGCGTGCACTGCCAGCGGGAGCTTCCGACATGGGTAGAATCGCAAACGATTCTGCAGGAGGGGACCTTGGGGCAGTGTGCCCGCCCGAAGTCCTTCCATTCAACTCGGGGGGCTGGCTCCGAAGCACGGACACGGGCAGCAGCTACAACGAATTTCGAAACCCGCGCAAGCTGATCTTCATTCAAGATGGGCCAGGGTGGGGCCGCGGATATCGCGCAGCTTGCAGGCCAACGTGGCAGCCTGGTCGGCCTGGTCATTTATAACCAGGCCCTCCATTCAGCGGGGGAAGCGGAGCTCCCAAGAACCTCAACATGGGCCCTCCATGGCCTTCCGTTTGTAACGCTCTGAAGAAGCGGCATCTTGCCGCGGCAACCCTCTCCAGAAGCCAGCGAAAAGACTCCTGGGGGTCGCTCCAGCCACTGGTGCGGGCGACTGAGAGGAGCGCCAGGCAATCCCCAGTGCAGTCGCAGAAGCCATCACTACATCTGGCCCCTCCCTACAAACCCTGGTGCTCCGCCTCCTCGGCCGCCTGGGCCGAAATGGGCGAGAGGGCCCCTGGAGAACGGTGGAGCTTGCCCGCGGCCGGGCCCCACCGCGCATCCCCGGGCCCCCCCGCGACGAAGCGACTCGAGCAACAAAGTCGAGGCCGAGCCGTCAGCGGCCCCGGGTGGATAGGCATCGGTTTACGGAGCAGCGGCCCCGGCAACGGTCGGAACGCACGGACAAAACGCATCTCCGCGCGCATCATGGTGCGAACGTCGCACATTACGCTCGCTCGTGGCCCCGTCAGCTCCGACGAGAACATCGACGGTCAAACGCCCACGATATATATATATATATATATATATATATATCGTGCGTGCTTCGGCGCGCAGCTACGACGCACGGCGGACACCCGTGCACCGCGCCGACGGTCGGATGCAAAATGGTTTCAGACAGATGCCGCTGCCACCCGATGTGTCCCGCCTCCGTGGCGCCCGTGACCTGAGCGGCACGCAGTGCGCTGCGGCTGGCGCTGCACCGCTCGGAAACGGCGCGCAGTGGCCTCGCGGGACTCGCACAGCTTCCGTGGGAAACGCGCGGACAGCGCCAGCACCTGAGCCCAGACGAGGACGACGAGGACGACGAGGAGGAGGAGGAGGAGGAGGAGGAGGAGGACGACGAGGACGACGAGGACGACGAGGAGGAAGAGGAGGAGGAGGAGGAGGAGGAGGAGGAGGAGGAGGAGGAGGAAACGAAGGTCGCCCTCGAGGGAGCCCGCTGCCCGCTGGGCCACCGGAGCCCCGATGAGGGCCCCAATGTACCCAGGGCGCCAGTGCCGCCTCCTCTGGCGACGGCGCGCGCCGATGTTTGATATGGAGAAGGGACCCGTCGCCGATCCGCAGGAGGAGGAGGAGGAGGAGGAGGAGGAGGAGGAGGAGGAGGAGGAGGAGGAGGAGGGGAGGAGGAGGAGGAGGAGGAGGAGGAGGAGGAGGAGGAGGAGGAGGAGGAGGAGGAGGAGGAGGAGGAGGAGGGGGGCCGGCCCGTGATGGCCCCAGCCAATCTGGACGCCCGTCGGGCCAGCCCACTATGGCCCCGGGCGCGGCGCGGCTCCAGGAAGCGTCGTGCGAATTTAAGGGCTCTGGCAGCCCCTGCAGGTGTGCGCGTGCGTCGACTCGTCCTTCTCCCGCTCCCCCCACAAGGAGGATGTACAAGGAGGCGGGAGGAAGATATGCGGGGCCAAGCGGACACACGCCTGAAAAACACGACTGTCGGCATGCTTCGCAAGAGTTGCTGCCGTGAGATGGGCTGGTGGGGATACGCGAAGCGTAAGGACTTTAAGGGCTCTGGCAGCCCTTGCAGGTGTGCGCGTGCGTCGACCATGGTTCGGGCGCGGTTTATTGAGGGATGAAAAAACGACCCTACCCTGGGTTGCAAGTGCGTGGTCTGTAAACCGCCTGGGAACCCCCGAAGCCTAGAGCCGCCAGGACGCGGCACATCACGCAGGGTTTCCCCTGTCAGCCCACAGGAGTTTCAGCGCACAGCGCCTCATAAACCAGGGTAGGGGCGTTTTTTCTGCCCTTGACGTAAACTGTTGAGGCGCAGTTCATCCGCGTCGCAAGTGCGACTCCCATGAACGGTCTTCAAGTGAGAACTCTGGCATCCGTGTCAGGAGCAGTTCAACTGCATGAATTTCAAGCGTGGTGCAGCCATGGTCCCGGGGTGGTTCAGTTGCGGTTCAGGTTTGGTTCAGGCGTTGCTCAGGCGCAATTCAGCCGTGGCGCGTGCGCGACTCGAGCAGGCGAGCTGCAAGTAGGAACTCTGGCATGCGTGCCAAGTGTGGTTCAGCCGTGGTTTAAGCGTGGTTCAAGTGTGGTTCAGGCGTGGCTCTTGTGTGCTTCAGGCGCGGTTCAGCCACGGCGATGGTGCGACTGAAGCAAACGACATGTAAATAGGAACTCTAGCATCCGGCTGAGGTGTGGTTCCGCAGTGGCTCAAGCGCGTTGCAGGTGTGGTCCAAGCGTAATTTCGGTGTGATTCAGGCGCGCGTCAGCCGCGGCGCGGTTGCGACTCGAGCACAAGTAACGCAAGCTGGATTTCTGGCTGCTGTTTCAGGAGAGGTTCAGCCATGGGTCAGGCGTGGCACGGGTGTGGCTCAGGTGTAGGGCGGGCGCGACCAAGCAAACGAAATCCCACCAGCCCTCTGGGCGTCGGTGGTTTAGAGCGTTTCCTCTTCCACCCCTCCTTCTTCCCCTTCGGGGAGGGGTTTACCCCTCCCCCTACCCCCTCCCCACTGACCTGGACAGGGGGGGCCGCGGGTAGTTAGAGCGTCCAAGAACGACCCCTGGGAGGGCTAAAATTCGCCACCCCTCACGAGGATCGTGCCCCCCAGGGGGGCGACGCTAAAAAATGCTTCCCCCTTCTGCGATCGATGTCCTCCAAGAGGGCCTCAAGCGACGTCTCGGACTCTCCTCTTGCGCCCTGCGCGCGAGCGGGCGGAACGCCGCCCGCCCGCCCGCGAGGCCCAAGAGCCCACCAAAACGTTCGAAGATACCTCCAAGACGCCACCAGGGAAGAGGAAGAGGCGGAGGAGGAGGAGGAGGAGGAGGAGGAGGAAGGGAGGAGGAGGAGGAGAAGGCGGAGGAGAAGGAGGAAGAGGGGGAGGAGAACAGCTGCCGATCATCGGCGCTCTTCGTTCGAGTGCCTGGTGTAGGATGGGCTGGTGGGGATACGCGAAGCGTCAAGAATTTCAATTAGGAACATGAGCATCCGTTTCAAGTGTGATACAGCCGTGGTTGAAGCGTGTTTCAGGTGTGGTTCAGATGTGGTTCAGGTGTAGTTCAGCTGCGGTTCAGCCGTGCCGCGGGCGACACTCGAACAAACGAGCTACAAGGAGGAAGTCTGGCGTCCGTGGGCCATTGGTTCAGGTGGGGGTCAGGCGTGGTCCAGGTGTGGCTCGCAGGCGCAGTTCAGCCGTGGCGCGGGCGCGACTCAAACAGACGAAATGCATATGTTCAGGTCTGGTGCAGCTATGATCCAGGCGTGGTCCAGGTGTGGCTCAGGCGTGGCTCGGGTGCGACCCAAGCAACCAAAAAGTAAGTGAGAACTCTGGCACGCCTTTCATGAGTGGTTCAGCATTGGTTCACAGTGCTTCAGGGATGGATCAGGCCAGGTTCAGGCGCGCTTCATCTTTCTATATATATACATACACATGTGTAATCAGCCGCGGTTCAGCCGTGGCGCAGAGCGTTCCAAGCAAACGAAATGCAAGTAAAAATTCTGGCAGTCGTCCCAGGCGTGGTTCAGCCATGGTTCAGGTGTAGAACATGTGTGGTCCAGGCGTGGTTCAGGCGTGATTGGGGCGAGTTTCAGCCGCGGCAGGGGCGCGGCCGAAGCAAACGACGTGCAACTAGAACTCTAGCATCCGTTTCAGAGGTTCAGCGACGGTTCAGGTGCGTTGCAGGCGTGGTTCAGGCGCGGTTCAGCCATGGCGCCGTCGCGACTCAGGCAAACGCAATGCGAGTAAGAACTCTGGCATCCGTTTCACGCGTTTCAGCCGTGGTTCAAGCGTGGTTCAGGCGCAGTTCAGCCGCGGCGTGGGCGCGACTCGATCAACCGATAAGCAAATAAGAGCTCTGTCATCCCTTTCAGAAGTGGAATGGTTCTGCATTAGTTCAGGCGTGGATCACGTGTGCTTCAGGCGTGGTACAGTTTTCAGTTAAACGCTTTTCAGCCGTGGCGCGGGCGCGACTGATGCAAACGACCTGCAAGTAAGAACTCGGGCGTGCGTTTCAGGTGTCCTTCAGCCATGGCCCAAGCGTGGCCCATGTATAAT